AGTAATATGACTTAGCTTCACTCAAATCAGCCCGGCAGCCTTCCACCTGGCACCTCGATGGTTGGCCGCCATGCACCAGCCCACCCCTCCCTCTCTTGGGTGGCGGCGGTGTCCGACCACTCCCGCCCCCCTCTAGTATTGACCCACTTCCAACACCCCCAAAGCATATTGTCTTGTCAAACCTCAAGCCACCGGCTGATGAGTCCGTTGGGGTTGAAGAAGAAGCATAACCCACTTCCATTTTTTCCACACACTGCAAGGTCTAGTAATACTTTCTTTATTTTTTTTGTTTGTGTCGAAACACTGGAATGAAGAGGACAATGATGATGGTAATGGTAAATGCATATGAGAAGTACGTATATATATCGGAGGTGAAGATTGGAGGAAGGAAAAAGACAACTTCGAGGTGTCATTAGTGGGGGCCAATATTACTAACAAGTAACAATTTAATACTTTGAAAATTTCTTTTTGGTGGTGTCCTTGATGCATGGTACACATCGGGCCGGGACCCGATATATCCAGCTAGAGTGAGGTCGGGGTGAGATGTGACTGCAAAGTTTGACTCATACCATATTTGAAGACTTAAACACAAATCATTGGCGGTATTTGAACACTTAAACACAAATGATTGGCGCTATATTTTTAGTAGAAAAATATTTAGGGAGCCATATATGACTTTTTTGAGCTCACATATGCAATATTAGCATTATTCCTATTGACTACCATTTATTTCTAACGAGGTCCGGATTAAAAGCAGAATGATTATGATAATGCGAACACAACTTATTATATTATTATATATCTTCATAAAGGAGTCACATACAATTCCTTAAAATAATTCAATTGATTAGAAACTTCATTAGAAAATGAGAATTTTATATATTTATGGAGTATTATTTAAAATCTCCATGTTTACCAATAGACTCTATACCCTTTTACATCTCCATCAAACTATATTTCCGTAAAGTACATTCCAAACCAGTAGCTTCTCCATTGAAATTTCCTTTCATCTCTTTAGTTAATTTATGCAACACTAATTGTCTAATAGTATTAATTTCTTTTGGAGTCTAATAAGGATTATGATGTGGACACTTCTTCAATTCCTGTCAACTACGGTAGCCATCTTAATGGACATGAGCATCCATAAGTATCACGTGCAAATTGCATATATTATCAATTAGATTTCGAATATATATTAAAATATTCTTTATAACACAGTTTTACGGTTTGGGAGGCCCTAATGAATGTGGTGTATCCCTCTTTCAATATAAGTGATAACTTAGGTATGCATAGCATTGATGGACACATCTATGGCTAAACGTTCTTTAATTTGCTTATATGTACACTTGTATGTGGTGGGACCTTCTTATGGATCAATCGTCTTGGGGGGACGTCAATGTATATTTTTCTAAAATCAATGATCAATACAAGTCCTGACACACACATATATTGTGACACCGCACCCGAACGTCCTTGAAAATTCAATTTAAATTCAAATATATGTATCGAATTTCCGACTCCAAACAACTGTAAAACGATTAATGTTCTACGTAGTGCATGGTTGAATATCGTACTGTTCAAACTCGTACAATAGTGTCGGGTTTTGCAAATACTTATTCGGGACTTATTAATAAATAAAAGAGCCCAACATTACCTAAATAGTGATACATAATCCTTCAAGACAATTTGAGGAAGGTCGGGTGGCCCAAACATTATTTTGGGCCAACCTGCTAAAAATAGCAAGTGTTCGAGAATGGCGTTCTAAACCCACTCGGGAGTGACCCACACGGCTAGTAGCTCAATAATACGTATGACAAATGTCAAATAAGTGATTGAATGATTAAGGAAGAATACAAATGCCTATAACCCCACCTTGGGCCATATTGAGCTAAATAATGGGAGTAGGATTTTCCTTCTATAATATTCATCAAGTAAATTATTGGGATGAGCCTACACATATTGGAGATCAATAATGTGATTTAAGAAGTTGACTTGTTCTAAATAAATTAGGATGAGTACAAAAAGACATCTTTTGACAAAGATAAAACAATAGGACCCATCTTCCCCATTTTTGGATGTATTGGTAGATAATTTGGATCCCCAAAATGATTGGGATCAATTGGGAACCATTCCACATGGACTTAGTACCTGCAAAACAAGTGAAAAGAGGTGAGAAGACCATATGGGGCGGACTCTTGGCTCACATGCACATAAACTCCAAGAGAAAACAAAAGGGGGAGGTCCACCCCATATTTGATTGCAAACCAAATATCTCCCATGTTCTTTTGTGAGCCACATACTCTTTTAGCATGTTTAGGGGCTCCTAATACACTCCCCATACACCCCATTCGAACCCCCAAAGAGATAAGAGAGCAAGGGAATCCACACAACCCAAGAGAGGAGGAAGGAGGAGAGCAGTCCGCAGGTTCGTTCTTCAGGGCGTAGCTCTGATTGTTTGAGCCATAACTTGAGATTTACTCATCCAAATAAGGCGTGCGAGATACCAACAGAAAGCTCTCAAGACGAGGAATCCGTGAAGGTCTGGTTTGCATCAATCGGAGTAGTGGAAGGCTTCCAAATCGACCGAGAAAAACACGACCTCGCAGAATACGTTTTTGTATTCAAAGTAAGTTTGAATCCAAAACCTTCCTCTCTATTGTCTAAATCATATAAATGATTGAAGAACTATTATACACTGATTGAAGTGTATAAAATGTTATTATTATGTGACTTTAATTGTTGGAAAGGTTAGATACTAACCTAGACAAAACCTTGAAAGGTTAGGGAACGAATTCGTCGGGAAACACCCGTTCTAGGGACTGTTTTTGCATTTTCGGTTAGGAGTTGAACTAGCACTTTGAAGGGGCTGTTTAACACTCAATTCCAAGCAAGGAATCAGTTCTCAAACCTTCTTGGCCGAGGCTTTGGTCGTTGGAGCGAGAAGGAAGGTTTTAAAGCACATTTGAGGTGAGGACCGACATCTAGTTGCTTACAACTTGTAGGTTATGCATAAGATTACCTAAATGCTTAAATCATGTTTTTTGTGAATAAATATGCTTGAACATGATATGAATGATAAGTAATGGACTTGATCATGAATTGAAACCATATTGATGAATATGGGGTTATGTGAGATAGAAGTATGCTAAAATGGTAAATTGACTTTTCCAACTCATGTATGAATGTCATGTGTATGTAAATGTATAATTGCATGATGATGCTTAGCACATGGGAGGCTGCCACGTATCTATTGATATGGAGGGGCTACCATAAATGATAAATGAGTTGTAGGAACAATCTTAATGGTATTGTGATGCTAGTTAAGGATTGCCCTAAATGTGTTAGAATCAAACTCAAGGTTTGAGTTTGTTTGTGATGAACTTGAATGAGATTCAAGTGTCAATTGTGAAATCATGGAGTAGGAGATCTATGGTGTGATATTATGAAGTAGGAGATCTATGGTGTGATATTATGAAGTAGGAGATCTATGGTGTGATTTTATGAAGTAGGAGATCTATGGTGTGATTTTATGAAGTAGGAGATCTATGGTATGATTTTATGAAGTAGGAGATCTATGGTGTGATTACATGAAGTAGGAGATCTATGATGCGAGTGCATGATGATGTACTCGAGCCGAACTCTAGAAATGAGAAGTTATGTTAGGGTTGGACCCTATGTATGTCGTGATTATTAGTCACGGGGTTTGGGAAATGTTTTGTAACAAACATGGGCCTTGAGCCGGCTACTTGACTTTATATAAAGTAAGTATATATTTTGAAAGGGGTAATTTGAGATTACGGCCTATACTATATTATCACCCTATTTGAGGGTCTTGTGTGTGAAATACTTGTTGTATATCTATTAGATGCCTGCCACACCAGCACTTTATAGCCCTATAGAGTGCTGACCCCTTCGGGGGCGTCCCACCACCATTTTTCAGGTTGAGGCTAGAGCTTGCTTCCTGTGCTCGTTGCTCGAGAGATCATATAGGAGGGAAGACTTGGTTCGTGCTTCCTCCATTCTGTTTTTAAACATTAATAAACATGCTCATGAATATTTTACTATAGAGCCTGCGTGCTCATGGTTGCCACGTGTGGCATTTGTTTTCAAACTATGTTTTCCGCTACGTATTCAATTGCTTATTATGTTGTTTATGGATGGCTTACGTGTGAATGATATTCGGGACGCCTTGTATAATATGAATGTGTTGGACTGCGGTTGACCATTCGTATTGTACGGCGGGTTGTTGACGTGTCCGGGGAGGTCCGGGGCGTGACAATTAAGTTGGTATCAGAGCCTTAGTCCATAAACTTCATAATGAAGTCTCAAAATTCTCTTTTCAAAATGTTTTTTTTGAAAACCATGAGCAAAAACGTTTTGTACTTAAGAACTTTTGGTGTTTGAGTTGCAAGGTCTCTAATTGTTAAGATGGCGCCCTTAACGATTGGTATTGCGGCAACTTGGCCCAAGAGATGTCTTAAGTACCTATCTGTCAGTTGACATTTGAAACGAGTCTAATGACTCATTCCAATTATTTCTTTCAGCGATGGAGGGTGATGGTGGTACTATGAATAGGGAGAACTCGGAAGGGTTTGCACCGGGTGGAACCGGGCATGCCAACCGAGAAAAGCCCGTAGGAATAAAGGTTCACGAAATTCTAGAAGCTCAAATCGTGAGTGGCGGTCATGTTAGGACCAATGAAGAATCACCTTGTCATAGCAAAATTGAAACACTCAAGGCTTCGGGTGACGAGGGAGATGATTTGAGTGATGAGAACCTTGATGGTGCACCCATTGAACAAATGGGCATGGTCATAGATTGGCTTCAACGTGAACGTGTGAGGCTTATACAAAAACACCAAGCTAGGCAAGCTGAGGGCATACCGTTAGTAAGGAAAAGGAGGTGGGGAGACAACGATTCCCAAAGACATTCAAGAAGGACAAACGTTGAGGGTGACAAAACCTTCAGGGCGCAGACACTATCACTTGAGTGGAGTCAGGGCTCGGGTGGCCAGAACTCGAGGTCAAAGGGTCCGAGGGTACCTAGGTGCAACAATTGCAAGAAACACCACTCGGGTAAGTGTCACGACCCTCCTAGGTGCTATCATTGCACAGAGGTCGGGCACACGAGGGTGAGCTGCCCACAAATTGTGCAAAACCAAACTTCGGGGTCAAGTGGTGGAACTACAAGAAATGAAAACCAAACCGAGGTTTCTCAAGGGAGCAGGGGACATGGGGGAGCAAGCACGAGCAACGCGCCATCCGTGAACCAAGGAAGGACCCAAGCTAGGGTCTACGCGATGACAGAGGCGGATGCTCAAGCTAACCCGGATTCCGTTGCAGGTATTGCCTCTCGTATACTAGTGTTTTATCCTTAATTAGTCCATAAATTAAGGTTACTAATCGTTGGGATCATTGCACGAAATTTTGGGGTCAAACGGAGCGAAATCGGGCGGAAGACGGCTGATTTCCGCCAACGCACACCAGGCTGGACCATACGCACGGCCGTGCGTTGTCCGTGCGTTGGTCCGTGCGTTGGTGGCAGTAGCAACCGGGAAGAAATTGCTATACGCACGGCCGTGCGTTGTCCGTGCGTTGGTCCGTGCGTTGGTGGCAGTAGCAACCGGGAAGAAATTGCTATACGCACGGATGTGCGTTGTCCGTGCGTTGGTCCGTGCGTTGGTGGCAGTAGCTCCGTTTTGAGGTTATAAGACACGCACGCCGTGCGTACCTCCTAGGCACGCCGTGCGTACCTCCTGGACAGCCCAAAGTCGACTTTTTCGCGCCGTATTGCAACGTTAAGACCCGTTCTTGATCCCAAACACGTGTGTGAACATAATAAACCTCTCTAAATGTATAGGAATGGTAGGAAAAATGTCTTACATGGTTCATAAATGTAGGGACACTAAAGATTAATGGGAAGGATGCGCGAATCCTTATCGATACCGGGGCGCAACGTTCATTTGTGAATGAAGCGTTCGCCAAGAGGTTGGGGGTGCAATCCGCACCATTGATGCAAACCTTAGTGGTATCAACACCACTAGGAGATGACGTGGAAAGAATTTGTTATTATCCATCTTGTGGGGTGGAGGTTAATGGTCAAACCTTGACGTGTGACTTCGTACCGCTGGGCATGATTGAATTCGATGCAATCCTAGGGATGGATTGGCTAGAAAGGAACCATGCTAGGGTAGATTGCTACACGAAGGTTCTTGAACTCGAAGGCAATGATGGGGAGACCCTACGCTTCGAGGGCGATCGAGGGAGATCAAATAGCTGTATCATATCCGCCGTGAGAGCGAGAAGTATGATGAGAAAGGGATGCCACACATATCTAGCATACGTGGTTGACAAAACCAAAGAGGAAACAAACATCGATGATGTGAGGGTGGTTTGTAAGTATCCGGATGTCTTCCCTAAAGACCTACCGGGGCTTCCACCTGATAGGGAGATTGAATTTGCGATCGAGGTTGAGCCTGGTACCAAACCAATCTCCATACTGCCATACCGTATGGCACCCGCTGAACTTAACGAGTTGAAAACCCAATTGCAAGAGCTTTTGGATAATGGTTTCATTAGACCAAGCCACTCCCCGTGGGGAGCACCAGTTCTTTTTGTGAAAAAGAAAGATGGGACACTTCGAATGTGTATTGACTATCGTCAGCTGAACAAGGTCACAATCAAGAATAGGTATCCTTTGCCTAGAATTGATGACTTGTTTGATCAACTACGAGGGCAACCGTGTTTTCAAAGATTGATTTGAGGTCGGGTTACCATCAATTGAAGATTAAGGAAGACGACATACCATCAAATTTCAGCTCAAAATTCGATCGGGAAGGTCGTCAAATGATTTTTGCACGTTAACTGGTCCGGAAAATACATATTCCGGACCAGTTAACTTGCAAAAATCATTTGACGACCTTCCCGATCGAATTTTGAGCTGAAATTTGGTATGGACAAACTAGACTTGATGAGGAACATGCTCAAAAAAATTCATCAAAAAATTCCACCGGGAAGGTGCCCAAACGGGCTCGGCCGGACGGGGCAGCCCGTCAGGCCGGCCTGACATGAAGTTTTCTCTACAGATATAAACTTGAAATACAGATATTCATATTTTGTATATTGTTTTCTAAATTTTTTGGATGGGAAGTTAATTATATTGAATGGCATGTAACATGATAAACTAAAAGGGCTTCATTTTATAATATCCGAGTCTATAATTAGGTTTATATTTTCCCCTTATATACACTTGAATGGCATAAGAGTAGGCTGAGAATCATAATATATAGTTCCATGGTTCATTCATTCCTAGATTTTCAATTAGCCAAAGGCACATGATATTATTACATATACACTAGCGAATTGTATACTACGTATTATATATAGTCATTTCTCACACACATCGGATCGAGAGGGGCTAACCGAGAGGATTAACTTTTCGAAATCATAAAGCCTCATTTGAAATGGGATACTCCGTAACATTTTTCACACACATATATGATGTATAAATAAATAAAATCAGGATTCATATTTTTTAATAAAAGATTCTCAATTGTTAATTAAGATTCTGAAACAATTTACTTTAATTTAGAAGTATACTGCTTAAAGTTACGATGAATTAATTCTTTAACAATTTACTCTAATTTTTTTTAATAAAAGATTCTTAATTGTTAAAGTTACGATGGATTAATTACTTGATGAAAATATATGCTGTAGAAAAATAATTTTCATAATGTCCCATAATGCGTACATATTGGACAAAATATCAATTTCATAATATTACGTAGAAGTATAATAATGTAATGAAACATGTTTGATAATTAGGACGAAGAATTAAATAGAATGTTCGTGCATTAAGTTTTAGTTATTATACTATATTTGAACTGCATTATTTTCTTAAATTAAATATAATCAATTCATTTTTTATTTACTACTTCTTATAATTTAGTATTTATTTGGAATATAAATTAATGATAAATACAAATTTTCAATTTAAAAATAAATGAAAAAAATTTAATTCCTTACAACTTTCTCTTTATTGATAAATAAATATATCAATATAATACAAAGGATAAATTAGTCATCACTTTATTTATAGATTAATTAATATATTATACAAAGTATATATAAAACTGAATTAATAAGTGAGTGATAACTTGGGTGCTTTATCGATTTTTTCTACGGGTAACCTATAATAATCATATATATTAGAAGAGTAATCATATAAACATCTAGCGTATAGCGTAGTATTCCAAAATGGCTAATCATTTAAACAGTGGACTGTGAGGAAGTCCTTATAGTTGTTTTAACGATATAGCATAGCTTTCGACTAATAAATTCATTATTGACTTCGTTCCATTGAATTTTATCAATTTGTCTTTTTGTTTGTGTCATAAAACTTCATTATTTTCTTTTCAAAGCAATATATTTATAACTTTATTCATTTTTCTCTTTTTTTGTACAAACTTTAAACAAACCACCGTTTTTACTATTCTAATTTCATACCAAACATCAATTTGACAGTGTTAGTTGAGTGAGACCAAGTTAGTATTTACTATCTAAACATACTTTTAGTCTTTTATGTTAGTTGTTTTCAGGACACATTCCTACTTTAATTTTAATTTTCTTCAACATGATTTTACTTTTATTTGCAATTTTGCCTAGAATCAGAGATTTATTTCATGGAATATGACATTTGCATTTTGCGCATAGCTATTCCATACTACCTTTTACACCCAATGGGAGACACAGACAATGGGCAAGAGGGGACAATCACCCCCACCGTTTTTTCTATTCATTTGCAAAACGGCTAGTCGTTTTGGAAAATCCTAAAATACAAATAGACAAAACCGGTTTGTTCAACGTGGCAATGAGTTGTCAGCTTTAATTTTAATTCTACCACTTTAAAGCTGTTAATGTAATAATGTCTTAACTATGATTAATGATTGGGTGCATATTCTAAAAATACAAATTACGTACGTAGCATGAGGTTTGAAAATTATACTCCCTCCCTAACATATATATGTTCCCATTTGAAAAGTAGGTAGATTAATTATTGAGGGTATGATAGGAAGATAGTGAAATAATGTGATGGAATGAAGGATAAATCCAAAAAAAGTAGGTGTAATAGTGTATTATTTTTAAAATTATTGGGGGTATGATGGGAACATTTAGAAATGGGAAGATACGAATGTTACATCCAAAAAAGGAAAGTGAGAAAATATGAATGTTAGAGAGGGAGTATATGTTTATGTACATAATAATTGAAAAGTAACCAAAATTTCACTTAAAACAAAACTTTAATGAAATCCTCTGCGTAAAATAGTTTGTTCATTTAATCGGGTGATGTGGCACACGTTTTTCTCCCTTTTTACTTTTTTTTGAAAGGAATCCCTTTTTAGTTTTTCTTCTTTTGCTTTTAGCTAATGAGCTCTCAGCTCCGTCATCATTGATCTTCCTATCTTTAATTTAGTTGAAGGCTAAATAAAAAGACCCAATAAAAAGATAAGACTATTAATATTGTATACTCCGTATAATTTGACATACTAATTATATTTAAAAATAACAATAAAAATTTATATAATTGTTATTTTAACTGTCTGCCAATATTTAATAAAATAAAAAGAAACTAAATTTAATACCGACATAATAAAATGATTGTTAGAAACCGTTTAAAAAATTAGGACCTCTTAGAGAGAATATTTTTTATATTCTAATATGAAGAGCAACAGTGAATATGATGAGACATGAATTTAATTTGTAAAGCTAATCAGTAAATAATTTGTTGAATTATAGGTTTGAAAACCAACAAAAACAAAAATGATGTGGGAAATTAAAGTGACTTGATGTTCGTAGGAATTAGAAAACATTCATAAATAAATCAAATAAGAGGAGTATTTGTACATGGATTGTGGTGGACCTTTAAAATAGATCCGAATTTTTATGACTATATGTCTATATTATGTTGATTTGTATAAATCGATGGACCTTTCACATGTCCAAACTATATAATTACATAATATATATGTTAAACAGAATAAATGTTATTTATCAAATAATGCCGAGTTCAACGAGATTAGATATCTAAGCATCTATATTTATTTTTATCAGAAAATTCAAAGTTAAAAGAATGACTGGCAAACTCGGTCTCATTATGATCATATCCATCACTATGTCATACTAATCATTGCTAGAAACACTACAAGCATAAATGTACCGTAGTTTTAATTTTCTTCTAAATACTCCATCCGGTTTTTAATAAACTTCACACTTTTCTTTTTGGGACGGTCTAAAATAAACTTCACACTTCCTTGTTTCCTTTTTTGGCAAAGAAATCTACATCAAAACAGTGTCAAACAGTGCCAAACAGTGTCTCAACAGTGCCAAACAGTGTCTCTACAGTGCCAAACAGTGTCAAACAGTGCCTCAACAGTGTACTCTACAGTAAAGTCAAATTTCTTTCCTTATTTTGTGTGAAGTCAAAGTGTGAAGATTAAATAAAACCGGAGGGAGTAATTGTTTTCATTTTATTTCTAGCTTGTTTGTTAAAAGTTATTTACTGATTAAAAATTAAATGATATTAGTTTGATATTTATTTTTATGTGTTGGCGGTTTAACAATGATATGATTGTCATTGTCGTGGTTATCTTTATCAATAATAATTAAGTTATTTTCTTTCAAAAAAATGATATTAGGTTTCTATTATATTTTTATGTGTTGGCGGTTTAATAATAAAATTGAATAAAAATGGAATTAACGATTCTTCAATTGGTTGCTAGTTTTTTTTTCAAGGAATCAAATTGATCTCACCCTTAATTTTGTCTTTGTAAAATGATTAATAAAAATCTCAATTTAATTCTAATTAAGTTTATATTGTGTATCACTATTATTGAGGTGAAATATCCTTCTTTAGATTTTATTTATCGTAAAATTATAAAAGAATCAAGATTTAATTTGCAAATCTTGCATATGAGGATATCCTCATACCCAACTCCCTACCTGGTACCAATTTTGATAGTGGAATTGGTCCATGTCACTCCATGCGACCATGGATACTTATGATGAGTAGAAGATGAGTGGAACATAAGAGTTCACAAAAATCTTTGGGAATGGAGAGAGAAAAACTATAGATAATTAATATGATAACAATGAGTTAAAAGTTCACAAGAATTCATGTTTCAAAGTGATTAAGAATGAAAGTTTGAATATACATCTAAACTTTCTTTGTGTTTTAAGGTTTGTTTTCAAAACATATAAATTAAACTTTTAAAATTCATCCACTTTTAAAAATTTCCCACTAATTCCTTGTATAGTACTCTATTTACTATTTTTCCCTTAGTAGGAGTAAAACTAATATGAAATTTCAAAAAAACAATTGAAAAACAAAACTTCATCTGTCCAGAATTGAACTTTTTGTTCTTTAAGGTTGACTAACGATAGCTGAAATTTGGTATGAGTAAACTAAACTTGATAAATAAGATACTCAAAAAATTTCATCAAAAAATTCCACCGGAAACCGCCCCAAATGGCGTCGGCCGGACAGAGAGTCCTATATAAGACCTTATTTGACCTTTTTATGTAAGTTCGGGGTCCTATTTGACCATTTCCCTTGTTTGTTTGAGTTTGATATGATTTATTTAAGTGTTGTGAAATCTGATTTGATTTGATTTGGTCTGAATTTAATTATAAGTTTAAAATCAGTCCAAAACCGACCAATAAATAAAGAAATATGACCCATTTAATAATAGAAAGAGCCCGCTGTAATTTATTATACCAACTTATTGATTTATTTATTAATTT